TAACTATAAATAGTAGTTTAAGGTTAGCCAGGTTTACAAGCTTTAGCTAGTATTAACTATAAATAGTAGTTTAAGGTAAGTCAGGTTTGCAAGCTTTAGCTAGTATTAACTATAAATAATAGTTTAAGGTAAGCCAGTTTACAAGCTTTAGCTAGTATTAACTATAAATAATAGTTTAAGGTTAGCCAGGTTTGCAAGCTTTACACAAATGTTCAATGTTTACAATTCACAAGAGACGAGTGATTTTTAAAACAAACAAATGGACTTCGAACATAGTTAAAGAGTCGTCTTTTCAGTTGTTGTTCTCAGAAACGCACCAACGACGCCAAAGTGGCGGTGCGCGTTCTTTCTTTGATGGTAACGGGACGCGAATCACGTAACTTCAGCTGCATAGTCCTGAACTGAAATGGAAATATTCAGAAAAAAATGATTTTGTTACGTTCGTGCACGTGCTAGACAAAGAGTAAGTAAGAAAGAGAGAGACAGATAAACATAAAAAATAAATGCGTAAAGAAATATTAAATATAAAGACATATACAAAGGCAGAGAGAGTGACAGATAAGTAAAAACAGAATCTAGATGAAAAAAAACACGATATGCTGATAAAGAAATAAAGGTATAGATGGACGGGATAAAGAAATAGTTCTAAGAAAGGTTTTACGGGAACTTTTATTCTGATAACACCCTCCGCCAAACCTGCTGCGGCGTCCAGAAATGATTATTCCGGAAACATTCTACACGTCCAGTAACTCAATCGGGACGTGCTCTCACATGTCGCCCTTTATGGCAAGAGAGAGAGAGGCGGATTACGGGGCAAGCTCCGGCTTACAGCTGTAAACAACTGTTCCGAGTGCATGACAATCTCTGGTAATGTAACAATAAACAATTGAGAAAGTGTAGGCAGTCAAAGTACGGTGGGTGTGACCCAATAACACTGGATTTTCATTTGGTTTTTGATTGGATGACTACGTACAGACGATTAAATTGCACGTGTTCTCGAGAACGGTTTAGAGAGAGAAAGATGGGAAGGAAGAATAGTTCACGCTTCGCTCACTCTCTCTCTCTCTCACACACACAAAATATAACTTTTAAACAGAATGTGTGAGATAATTCAAACATGTGTCAAACTTTATATAATAATGTTCTTACTTTTTGTTAATGTATAT